TTTCGCTGTAGTTTGTCTGGCCACGGTCCAAGAATTTCACCTCTCACGGGGCCATACAAATGCCCCCGTTTGTCTCTGTTAACCATTATCTCAGTCCGTAAAACCAATAAAACTGAACCGAAATCGTTTTCTATTATTCCATGCACGATCATTCAAGCGAAAACGCCTGTTTGAAGCACTCTGATTTGTTCAAAGTAAACTTGCAATGCCTGTTAAGAATCCTGTTAAGGACTCAAAACCGAACATTACGATAAATCGATAACACCCAGAAACACCCGGAGGGTTCCAGGGTACCGATACGAATCCAACTACGAGCTTTTTAACCGCAGCAATAATTCTATGTATTAGCAGAGCTGGAATTACCGCGGCTGCTGGCACCAGACTTGCCCTCTGCTTGATACTCGTTAAAGGGTTTAAATTGTACCCATTCCGATGACCGGCCTCAAAGAGAACGATCTCGTTATTTCTCGTCACTACCTCCTCGAGCCGAGGGTGGGTAATTTGCGCGCCTGCTGCCATCCTTAGACGTAGTGGCCATTTCTCAGGCCCCTTCTCCGGAGTCGAACCCTGATCCTCCGTTATCCGTCACCACCACGGGAGTCGATTATGCTCCCGTCAAGTTGATAAAGTGGACGCTTGAAAGACACGCCGCCGGCACAAGGCCATGCGGTCAGCTTAGTTATTCTGAGTCAACAAGAAGCAGCCGAAGCCGCGTGGTTTTGTTCTAATAAATGCGCTTTTCCGAGAGGACAAAGCTTTGGTGCATGTATTAGCTCTAGCTTTTCCACAGTTATCCATTTAGATAATCAAGATCAAGTAAATCATGGCCATTGTAGTGAGCCGTTCGCGGTTTCTCGTTAAAACGATTAAACTTGTACATGCATGGCTTAATCTTTGAAATGAACACATCAGTTCAGGCAGGATCAACCAGATATCTCGTAAATTCAGGTAAGATTCACTACCGAATTTTAATTCGCACCGTCGGCGCCAGAACGACACACGGCGATACAGATTTGGTCTCACAACCAATCTCGGGTCACTTACTGACTTTACGAGCACTCAAAAGTTTGCTTCGAACCGACCAAACGCTCATCTTGCCAATTCAGCAATGAATTGGCATAAAATTCATATCCTTCAATGAGGACGCTTCGTCTCAACACAAAATCTCAACTTTTCACTTCACTAATCCAGCCATATTTAGCATCAAATTTTTTTCTCTTTCATCGAGATTAGCGAATTTCTTATTTTCAGCCGAGAATTAATCCTCAGGTGAATTCATGCTTGTCCTTCGTGAAATAAACCAAAAATCGCAATCTCGGTCGTGAACTCTCGCCCTTCGGGCAAACTCTAAAATTAATGAATCCCTAGCCCTTTAAAATGAACAGAAATCGATTTAAAACGGTTAAAAATCAAAGTAGCACATTTGAGTCTTCAGATTGTACCATAATCAAGTTGATTGGATGCTAAGAATTTACATAATAGGGCATCAAGTAACACGGAAGGACTTGAAATCTGCTACGTCGAGAATTATTTATTTCCTATACATTTTTCCTTTCCATTTCCTGTGCAAACAACCACTTTATTTTACAATTCGCAAACACACAGCCACTTTTAATTTTACTCAACAGACAACCACTTTTCTAATTTAATATGAAGCGAGGCGAAAAGAGAAATGGACCAAATGCAACCCCAAGCTTTGTAACATCATGAGAAAAATAAATGGAAAGAGAATTAAAGCAAAAAAGAAAGCAAAAAGTGGTCGTAGAATTAGTAAAAGTGGTTGTTTTTATAGTAGTTATTTAATATTAGTAGTCAATTTTTGAAAAATTTGGGCATGACCCCTTCACACAGCAACATTAAATTTGAATTTTTGGATTTTTGTTATAATGATTATGATATTCTTACTAAGCAGACAATCACGCGAATAACATCTGAAATAAAAATAATTTGACTTTAAATTTACCTCAAGTTTTATCGAACTTTTCTGTGTACCCCTATACTATTTAAATATATTTTAAAAAAAAGTAAACAAAGCTTTTATTCCACAGGAAAAAAAATAAATAAAATGGTTTTTTATAAAAAAATAAAATTTTAATCACATAATAGTAATAATTTTTTGAGATTTTTTTGAAAACAATTCGATGATTTTGAAAAATTTTGACCATTATTAGTGTTGTTTCCATTGTTGTTGTTATTTCCTCCATTTAAGTTGAATAATTCAATATTCATTTTAAATAATTCCTGAAAAAAGATGTAAATTAAAATTGAGGTGAACTAAAAGCACTTTTAAGGATTTGTGCTATCTGCTTCCGTTAATTCTCAGCATACTGTGCGTCACGTGTTCCCATTTCCGCTTCCAATTCCTGTGCCGCCGCCTCCGCCTCGAATTTTTAATAAAAGTGAAAATAAAAGTGTAATTGAAGAATATAAAAATGTTATTGAGAAAGATAAGTTAGATATTTGTAAGAATGATAAAAAAATTTTCTTTATACCCACAAGTTATTAATAATTTTTACAATTCAACAATCAACAATCATTATTAAAATATTTTAATAATAATATTTAAATAAAGATATTGGCTCATCTTAGGACATGCGTCCCATTCCTGGTAAATCCTAGTGCCCTCCCTGCGAGCACACCGAGCAATCCCATCCTTAAAATTTTCAAATTTGCAGTCATTTCCCGGGCTGTTACCCAATACGAGAGATGTCCTAAGATAATGCTATGAGCAGATTTTTCCTAAATGATTACTCAGGCTACTTCTGGGGCCACTGAGTCCCATATATTTGACAATGATTACCCAATGGCGGCCTGGGTAATCGTTTATAACAAAAGAATGCTGATAGATAGTATTGTCTTGGTCCACCCTTCACAGTGCCAGCCCGGGTAACCACATAAAAAAGACAATAGTTTTTCATTATTCCCATTTTTAATCTTTACAGGTGGGAAATAAGGACCTCTCTTTTAAACAAAATTCAAAAATTCTCCTAAATAAAAAAGTAGATATGAAATAATACCATAGATATAATCCCCCACGGTATAAATAATCTCTTAGACACCAAAACACAAAATGTTTCCGGTAATGTTTCGGAACATTAATTACTTCAAAAATTTGAATAATTATCAAATTTAAATTCAAAAGTTACAGCTCTGCTAGTATGGAACAGCCTGGGTAATCACAGCTCTTTCAAATATTTTCCTAATTTGCCTTGTTATTCTCTTATACTTACTAGATTTGTTCACTTTTTAGTTTATTTTAAATCATCCCCGCGAAAAAACCTTTCCCACTGGATTGGGTCCTTACTACTTTCACTCCGTTCAAATTTTCCCGTAACTTTATTCTGCTTTTTAATACTCAAGAAACCCACCCGCCCACTTTCTCTTCGTTTTTTGCCTGCTTTTTTTCTTTGCTTTTTTAAATTCTTAACAACTCACTCATTCTTTTCCGTGTCCGGACAAAATATCGAATCGTTAAAATATGGAATAGGCTAAAAAAGGGTTAAAATCTCGAATCGGGTAAAAAGGGGTTAAAATCGCGAATAGGCTAAAAAGGGGTTAAAATGTGGAATCGTTAAAATATGGAATGGTTAAAATATCGAATAGGCTAAAAAAGGGTTAAAATATGGAATCGTTAAAATATGGAATGGTTAAAATGTCGACACGGCCAAAATCGATCAAAATGTCGAATTTTTTAAAAATGGCGCCAAAACTAGAATCCGGGCGTTACCGTAATACCGACGGTATTTTTCGATATTCCTTGTCGGTTGTACGGTACGGAATCCGACCGATAAAATTTAAAAGCTGATCGGTATTTTTCGGTATTTCGTACCGTATACGGTAAGGTCAAACTTTAGGTCTTATAAAAACTAATGCATACCACTCTAATTTTTCCATATCAGGATCGCGTTATGTTTTCCGGATCCGTACGATCATGCCGGACCGGATCCGGTCGATTATGCTTGATTTATCCGGTCCGGTTTTACTCGGTAAAATACAATGAACTCTGGCAGAAAAGATTACGCCGGACTACGACTTACCAAACTTATCAATCAACTTATCATCAATAAGCTGATAAGTTGATAAAATTATCAACAATCAACGTATGGCACTCATCTGACCCTTTTTTAAAAGAATTCGACATTTTGACCGATTTTGGCCGTGTCGACATTTTTACCATTCCATATTTTAACGATTCCATATTTTAACCCTTTTTTACCCGATTCGATATTTTAACGTTTCCATATTTTAACGATTCGGTATTTTAACCCCTTTTTAGCCTATTCGCGATTTTAACCATTCCATATTTTAACGATTCCATATTTTGTACCGGAGCCTTCTTTTCTCTTCAATGTAAGACAATATGAAGTAAGCAGAGAAGGAAAAATAAATAGTGCATTCTTTTCTCTCCATTATTTCAAACACCCCAAGCTTAAAGTCATTTTTCTTGAAAACTGATATAACTTCGTGATAGAAAGTCGATGCTCCTCTATCGAATGGTACCAAAATAAATATTGAATTCGCACTGAAAGTAAAAGGTGGGATTCAACACATTTTTTGCCTATTTTTAGAAAATCAAAATTTTTTTATCCAATTGTTACACATTTGCTTCATTTTCACTTTATTTAAAATTTCTTCGCGAACAACTTCCCTCTACTTTTTAATCCTCAAGAAACCCACCTGGCAATTTTCTCTGTTTACCCTGTCTATTTTTCTTCCTATTCTTCACGAATCGTACACTGATAGTAAAAGACGAAGGCGAAGAGATGGAAAGAGCTGGAAACAGACAAAGGAGACTACAGCCGCTGATTTTTAAAAATTGAGATTAAAACCTGGACACTCCGTTCAAAATCAATTAACTTTTTATAATTTTGCTAATATTCTTAATTTTTTCAAAAGTTTTATTTTTTGTTTGTAATTATAAATTATTCTCGATACCTATTAAAGCAGCAAAAAAATAAATTCAAAATTTTATAAAAAATATTTTTACAAAATAAAATTTTTTAAAGTATTAATTGTCGTAAAGCAATTTCTTTCATTAATGGAGTAATAAGCCATCGTGTTCCAAAAAAGAAAGTTATTCCAGCAAAAATAGAAATTGGCAAGGCTGGCAACGCTTTGCGGAACAATGCAAGGAGCATTAATGTAAAAGCAAGACCCTTAAAAATGAAAAATTTTAATTTATCAAGATTTCTAATGTGGAAATGTACAAGGCGAAAAGATGGAAAGAGCTGGCTGGAAACAGACGGAGGAGATCAGTGATTAGCCCCGCTAGTATAATCCAACTAGACTGACGCTTTCACTGGCTTTTATACTATCCGTACACCACTACACAACAATACTTTAATTACCCACCCCTTTATTCGCAAGCTCAAAATGGTCAAAGTAACCCTAGTCGTAGGGCGGTCGCTTGGTTTTTGTATACAGTAACATAGGTCTATTGTTGGATATCGAATACATGGGTTGATTGGCGAATAAACGGGGCAATAATAGGGTGTGTTTTGCGAATAAATGAGGGTAGGTAGTTCAAATAAATAAGTACCAAAATGTATTTTTAGTTAAACATTATACCAAATATTTAAAATTAAAAATTCTGACCACAAGAATCGAGACATAACAAGCAATTGTAACATTCCAATCACCATAACTACTAGCCTTTCCTACCAATACACTATAGAAAATAAAATCACCCAAACCAAGCTTAACTCCACCTAAATATTTTTTATTTTTCTTTTTTTTATTAATTTATTTACGTTCTTCAACCAAATCATTTTCCTCTGCGCCACCAAAATTTTGTGCTGAACGAGAGCGTCGAAGAGAACGACCACTTTCTTTACTAGTTGTTGGTTGGGATGAAGAAGTTCCTGCCCCATCATTGCTGCTTCCAATAATTGTGATAATTGTATCGTCTGAAATTTAGAAACTATTTAGTTTTGAGTATTTTAGTAATATAATTTTAAAAATTTAAGAAAATTCCAGTTTTGTACTACACAGAGTCTAAGTACAAAGTAGGGGGCCGACAGTTTCCTTCCAGCCTAACACTTAAAGTAAGGATAAAAACGATTAGTCAGCGAAGAAATTGCTAAACTAGGGTTGTTGGCGACAAACCCTGAATTTTTGATATTTTTTGCCGAAAATTAACCGTTTTTAGAAAATTTTAAAAACAGGAAATTTGTGAAAATGACTGATTTTAATTAAAATTCCCCCAAAAATAAACCGGTATCTGCCTAAAACTCAAAACCGAAAACCTGGGGTACCGGTTAATAACCGATCGCCAACAACCCTGTGCTAAACATTGAAAATCTCTCATAGGGTTAAAACAAAATTTCTGATTTTTGTTTTTTAATGAGCAAAATAAATTTTAAGTAAAAAAAGTCTTTATTTTTACCAGATGTTGTGACATTTTGTCTTTTGGAGGACGATGTTGGACGACCTGGAGCACTTCTTGATCTACTTGTACTCTGTTCTCCACTACTTTCTTCTCTTTTAATTGATTCAATTTTTTCATCTTTTTCTAATAATCCATCTGTAGATGTTGCACTTCCTTCACGTTTTGTACGAGTTTTGTTGTTGTTGTTAGTTGAAGTACTTGGTAATTGTTCTTGTTCATTTTCTTCTCTTTGTTGTTCTTCTTCTTCATTTTCATAATCAACAGCATTATTAACTTGTCCCATTCCCGTTAAAGTGTACATATAGAGAATACCAGCTAGAAAAATTTAATTTTTAATGAGGAAGGTGTGCGGACATATCGGGCATTGGGGTGACAAAAATAATTTTTTGCGTGTTTACGTTTGTTCTAAAACAAAAACTCTATCTCTCAGTAGGAAACTGTTCGTACAATGAAATAGCCCGGTATGTCCGCGTGCCGAGAGGGAAAATTGAAAAATTATTAGAAACGTTAAGACGCAAAAAAGGTTCTAAAACTATTATTTGTTTTCTGGATTATTTTGTCCAGCTTATTTTAGAAGAGCGGGGCTTCCCTGGAAATTTCTTAAAAAATTATTCCCGTTTACCGTCACAAACAGATATTAAAAATAATTTACAAGAATATATTAAAGCAGGGAAAATAGGTTCATCTCTCTTCTGCGCAGTTTCCACCAAAATTCTCAAAGGCCCTTTTGGACACAAAACAGCAACCAAATCCCAAATTGAAAGCACAGCCAAAATTGACCAAACAGACCATTCCGGTAAATGTTTAATAAACATTAAAGCCATTAATGCAGACACAGAAACCAAATAAAACTTTAAAAAAATAAAAAAATATTCAAAATAAATCGTTCTAAAAAAACCTGTTGGAGAAGTAAAGGTCCTTGCCAATGAATACAAATCATGCCAAGAACACACCCTTTTTATTAAATTTTATTAGACAGTCAAACCCCATTTTTAAATATTCCAAAATGAAAATTAGTAGGAGAGCCTCGTAAGTGATTCACAAAAATAGAGTACAGACAGACTTGGTAATGGATATGGATACGTTAGAAATGCCTGCGGATATCAGTCTGTATCCGCCGTAATTATCCGGATACGGATATTAAAATTCATGTCCATTACCAAGTCTGGTACAGATTTTTCTGACCCAAGGGGACATCCAAAAATGAGATAAGTCTAAAATAAAAAATAAAATTCATACAGTTCCAAAGAAATATTCCAAGAGTAATATAATCAATTGGAATGTTGTAGTTGCGAAATAATTCTCTGAAAAATTTGAAAAAAATTAAAAATTTGAAAAAAAATAAAAATTTGAATAAAAATCTGGGAATATTATCAAAGAATGACGTTTTAAATTTTTTATTTTCCCACCCCTTTTAATAAAGAAAATAATTCTGGGCTTGGAAAAAGGATTTTTTAAACTAAAAATTTAAAAAAAAAATAATTACTCAATAAAAGACAACGTAAACATGGAGAGTAACATCAAGGAACTTAACATTAGCCAAGCATGAATAATCTAAAAAGGAAATTAATTTTCTAAAAAAATTTAAAAAAATAACCTTATAACATTTAGATTTATATAACACAATCAAAATTACAGTCATAACAATAATAACTACAAGCAATATCCCCGCATTAGCCAAAGATTGAAGCAAAATCTCTCCTGCCCCATCTGTTGTTTTTCCATGAAATGGAGTATATGGACTTTAATTTAAAAAAAAAATATTATTAATTGCTAACACGGAGAGGTTGCGAAGTGTCTGACCTAAAAACGGTCAAGACCGGGCTCATTCGATAGAGAATGTGCCCTTTCTAGCAAGGATTTTGAGCCGTTTTTACCCGTTTTTTGATCTGGCCAAGATATCGCCCGTCCTTAGGTCGGACACCTCGCAACCTCTCCTTGTAAGTTTATAGGGCGTTTTAATGTTTGGGGGTTATTAATTAAGTTGAATTTAATATACAAAACTTTTCATAATCGTTAGACAAATGAAAACTCGAAAAGGCATTAAACAACAAAAACAATAAAATCGTTCAAGTTGTTTAAGACAAAATATTCCAAAGGTCCAAGTGAAATGGCAAACACTTTAGGACATCCAAAAAGCCTCCGTTTTGGAACTGGGGGCTGTCTCTTATTTTATCCAACAAAGAATACTCGAATTTTTTTTCTGTTTTCCCTTTTTTTAATCGAATTAATCAAAAGAATATTTTTTGAAAAATCAGCTTGTTATGTGACGGTTAAACAAATATCCTCGAGGAATAGGACACCTTCGATTAATCCAATTAAAAAAGGGAAAACTGAAAAAAATAAAATCTTTTTTAATCCCAAAGATTCTTAAAAACCAAAAAAATATTGCTTAAAATTAAACCCCAACAAAAAACCTCTCAAAAACTCACAGATATTCCCCTGCCTTTGAATAATAACCAACAGTCATCATTGTCAAAATAACAACAGCCATACACAAAGACACTTAAAAAATCATTTATTTTCGCCAAAAAATTTTTTAAAGAAAACCTGGCACAAATAAATGAATAACGTGGGAAGCTCCATATTTTAAAGCCTGTTCTTCCATCATTTTTTCACTTGTTAAAGAATCTCTGCGTCTTTTAGAAGGGTTTTGGCGCTGTGCTGACTCACACAATTTTGAATCGCTTGATACTGGCTTTAAAAAATTATTTTAAATTTTAATAAAAATTCAGAATTTTGAGCTTTACTGAAGCCCATATTTATTTTTTCCCTATTTCTCCTTTATTTTATTTCTAGTAACTAAACAATCATGTCCTTCGAGGATATTTGCTCGACCGTCACATTCAGCAAGGGCGAAGCCAGGGTGTCGATTTCAGGGGTGGGGGTTGTAGGCGTAAAAAATTCACTTTTCTCACCATTTCCCACCTAAAAATTTTTCATTTTCCCCATTTCAGGGGGGGGGGCTATAGCCCCAGAAGCCCCCCCCCTCTGGCTACGCCCTTGACATTCAGGACTGTTGAAAACTGGATTTTTGGATTTGTTTCAGGGAGGGGGTTGTTGTTTTCAATTCGCGACAAATTTTTGGCGCCCCCTGGCACATTAATAACAGATTAAATTCCCAAAAAGTATCCTTTGATTAATTCAATTTAAAAGGAAAAATAGACAGAAAATAAAATTAGTGTCCCTAAAGTCAAAAATTTCCCCAAAAATTTAAAAAATAAAAAACCCTTCGTTTAGTCTTCTTTTTTCCTCCAACTCTCTCCTTTTGTTGATCATTTTGTTCACTACTTCCGCTCTCTTGATTATGTTGAGGTGAACCATTTGTTCCTGTTGTGCTAATAGCAGAAGAATTTTGAGGGATTGTTGCTAATTCCATTTAGAAAAAATAAAAAAAGAAAATTTTCTGAAAACTGAAAGAAAAGTCTGATTAAGAAATCTAGGGTAGGACAAGGCCTGTTACCCGCCCGGTTAATTTTTCCCTGTAGCGGGTCAAAAAGGGGAAGAGGGAAGGGAAACGAGAAAAAAGACCTGCCACAGGTAAAAATTAACCGGGCGGCTAAACCGGGCTGATTTCTGATTTTTTTTCTGAAAATTTTGAAAAAAAATTACAGAAAAAAATTTAAAAATATAAATTTTGATATAAAAACAATTTTTAAAAAACTAAAAAATTCTTAAACTAATTTAAAACAATTTATAATAATCAAAAAAATAAATACTCAATATCAATAAAAACTATAACAATTGCTCATTTTAAAAAGTCCTTCCATTTACAATTCCATAACAACAGAAAAGTCATCAGCCAATTTCTCCGCTGCTTTGTCTAAAAAATGTTTTTAATTTCGAAAAATAAGTAAAATTTAAGGGAGAATATTAAACTGACTTTTTGATCGAAATAGGGTGTCGATTCTGGACCGAACCAAAGAACCGAGGATTTTTCGGTTCGGTTTCGGATATCCGAAGAATTTCCAGGAACCGACTAGACCGAAATAATAATTAAAAAGTACGAGGCGTGGATTTTTTAAGGCTTTGATTCATCTTCTTTAATATCCAAAAAATTCCCAAATTTTATAACCCCGTTTTTTTTAAAAGCATTACTTACAACTTCTATAAGTAGGGCTATCTGGTACTTATTTAGTTCCCCCTACCCCCCAGTCAGTTTTTTCGAAAAATATGTAAAAATGGTCAGTCTGAACAACAATTGTAGAACCCATCGAGCTGAGTCGAATGAGACCAAAATCAACGAAATCGGACTTGATTTGACAAAGTTATGACATTATTTAGACTTACCGGAGTCAACGACTTATGTCATAACTTTGTCAAATCAAGTCGGATTTCGTTGATTTTGGTCTCATTCGACTCAGCTCGACGAGCTCTTTCGAATGAGCTATAATTTGTATAGATTTTCGTCTTTATGATTTTGTGCCGCTGTGGTTTAGGGGTCTGTATTTCGGTCAAATCAAGTCGGATTTTGTTGATTTTGGTGTCATTCGACTCAGCTCGATGGGTTCTACAATTGTTGTTCAGACTGACCATTTTTACATAATTTTCGAAAAAACTGACTGGGGGGTAGGGGGGAACTAAATTAGTACCGGGCTATCTCTTGCTGGAAAATCTTTGGATATTCGAAACATACCCAAAAAATCCTTGGTTCCCCGGACAGAAAAATCATATTTATAAACGTATGTAATATTGAACCGGACAAACCCACTTTCCTCCTCCCCAATTTTACTCCTTTTTTGACATGTACTTTCACTTATATGTATAAAATTAAATATAATTCTTTTTGTTTGATTGTAAGCAAAAATTAGAAAGGCAAATTGGGTGGAAGAAAGGGAAAAGTCTGAACATTTTGCAAAAATATAGGGGGAAAATTGGGAAGGAAAAAGGGGAGGTTTGTCCGGTTCAATATTACCTAAACTTAAAAAAGGCATAATTTTTTACCTCCCTTCCTCCTAAGAGGGGAGATATCCGAAATCGAAAAAACCACGGATATCCGTAAATTTTCAGTTCGGATATCGGTTCCGGAGAATTCCCAGGAACCGCCATCCTTACCCCCCTCCCCCCCTAAAAATTATTTAAAATCCAAACTTGTTCTCTTCCTCATTCTTTTAATTTTCTTCCTAGCCTTCTTCAAATCCCTATCAACCCTTTCATTTCCTTCAATTTCCTTCAAATCCTTTCTAAACAAATTTGTAAATATCGGAATTTTTTCTTCCAAATTTTCTTCATTCTTCAAAACTTTATTTATTTCTTTCAATTTTAATTTCTTTTCTTTAATTTCTTCTTTTAATTGTTTTTGGATTTCTTTGGCTTCTTTAATTAAATCAATTTTGAATGGGCATTTATTGGGAATTGAACAAAATTTTTCTTTTCTTTTGTTTTTTCGCCCAGATTCTAAAAAAATTTTTTTTATTTTTAAATCTCGGCAAAACTTTGGTTTAGACTAGAGACCGGCAAAATCGAACTTCCGGGATCCCGAGTCGGGATTTTTTTCTTAATCGATGCGAATACGGGATCCCGAGGGATAAATCCCGAAAAAATCCCGGATCCCGAAAATCAAAAAAATCAGCGCCTTCGGGATCCCGGAAAATTTCCTCCAGCGCCGACCTCTAATTTAGGCACCCCTATTTTTCCTTTTCCCTTTTACGACATCTGTTCTTTTTTCAAGCAAAAAAAGCTCAAAATGGTCAAGGAAACAGGGAAAATGAATAGGGGGGTCTGAACTAGAGATCGAGATTTTTGGAAAGCCTGGGCCTTTTCCTGGGTTCCGGGTTGATTTATTGATCTGGGCGGATCCTGGGCCTTTAGTCCAGGAAAAACACAGGCCCAGGAAAACCCCAGGAAGGTCAAAAAATGCCTGGGCCTCGACTCTGGGTACAGGAAAGACTCCAAGCCTTGGTCCAGTCCCAGCTCGATCTCCCGTCTAAACCAAAGAATTACCCAAATATTTATAAAAAAATACTTTTGTCAATCTTTTTGAGCTTTTTGGAATGCTCCCGAGCCTTTCTCTGAATTTTAAATTTTTTCCTGAAGCCAATCCTTTTGCTTGGTTTTTCTAAAAAATATTTTCGTTTAAATAATTTCAAAACAAACTTACTCAAACAATTATTGGCCATTCTAATTTTTAAAAAATTTTATGAAAATATTTAAAAGCACGAAAAAATCTTTAAAAAATAAATTAGCTAAAATTAGAGGTCGGCACGGGTCAGGATCCCGTACGGGATTTACGGGATCCTGTCCCGAAATCCCGTATTATAAGCGACAAACGGGATTACGGGATTTCACGAGATTAATCCCCCGGGATCCCGTCCCGCAAAAATTTTTGAAAAAAATCCCGTTACGTGATCCTGGGAAAGCGATTTTGCCGACTTCTAGCTAAAAATTTAATAAAAGACACTGAAAATTGGCGATGAAAAGGCCTATACAAAATTTATATTTTTAGCGAAATAGTGTTGAAAAATAAGAGAGACAATTAGAGAAAAAAAGAAAATTTAATAAAATTTTGGCGTTGCTTCTTTAAAGTTTCTTAATTTGTTTTACAATTAATTTAATTAAAAATAATTTCAGAAATTTGTTTTAAATTTATTTAAAGCCTTCAATTTCAAAAAATGAGTAAAACGCATCCACCGGAGTTGAAGAAGTACATGGACAAACAAGTCAATATTAAATTAAATGGAAATAGGTTTATTTAAATATTTTTTTTGTATTTTAAAATGAATTTTTAGGAATGTCTCGGGTGTTCTGCGAGGATTTGATCCATTTATGAATATTGTGGTTGAGGACTGTATTGAGCATATGAAGGTTTGTTTGGGTTGGGGAATTAACTAAAAAAGGGGGGACGGAGGAGGAAAGGGTGTAAGACTGGGAATTTTGCGGAGAACCCCTTCTTATTCCTCCATTTCCCTTTTTGTTTTATCCACTGATTTCCCCGTCGACTCCTAGGCCTGAAATCCTGGAAACCTCAAAAGCTTTATAATGCTAGAGTTTGGGCTTTGTATACATAGAAACCCTTTGCCAATCTCTGTCACCAATGTGTCCCGGATTCGACCACTTTAAACAAAGTTATAGCTCTGCGGTAAATTAGTCTGCTCCTGTTTTTTAGACCTCAATTTCCCGTATAGACATATTTTTTTAGCTCTAACTTTTAATTTTATCCTTATAGGTTCTAGATTAGGCAACTAATATAAACAAAGTCTTCCTTTTCTGTTGTTGAGAATAGGATTGCTGACGGTCGGTTAACCGAAAACCGGGTGCTTTTGGCTAAAACCCCGAAACTGAAAACCCGAGGGTCGTAAACCGGTGAAAAACCTGAAAAAACTTTTTCTGGAAGACGGTAATTCTGAAGCTGGTCCCCTCTTTTTCAAAAACCTTTTCAGGTTACCGGTCGTAAACCTGAAAACTGGGGGATACCAGTTAATAACCCCAACAACCCTAGTTTAGAAATTTCGAAACTTTGTCAATTTTTTTAAAAAATTTAAAAAAAATTTTTAACTAAAAAAATTTTTTTATTTTAGACAGGGGAGTCTCAAAGTATTGGAATGGTTGTTATTCGTGGAAATTCGATTGTTATTATGGTTATTTTTTAATTTTATTTTTTTAATTAATTTTTAAATTTAGGAGCCTATGGAACGAATTCAATGACCTTAAAATGGATTTTTTGAAAAGGAAAAAACAATTTGAAAATTATTTTTTGGGATTTTAATCGTTTGTTTGGTTTATTTAAAAAATATTTTTTTGTTTTTGGAAAGTAAAATTTGAAAAAATATTTTTTTATTAGGCATTTCTTTGGGATAAAGGGAAATTTTTAGGGCATTCGAAGAGGTAAAAACTTTATTAAAATAAAAAAAAACCGTCAGGAGTCTGATACATGAATAGAAATAGCCCAATCGAAGTATTACTCCTTTTTAATAGTAAAACCATTCCTTTGTGTTTTTTGCGTATTTTTGAAACCTAAGATATTGTAAAAATTCATAAAAAGATTGTCAAGCCGGACGGTTAATTCGACAATCTAAAAAGGGGTAATACTTCAGTTGGTATGAATAGGGTGTCATTTGTACAGCTTTAAAGTTTAATAAGACACATTCAAAAAAAGCTTACAAAGGCTTTTATAATTTTTTAAATTTTATTTTCACTGAAAAAGTGTCTTAAGCGAATTTAAAATTATTTAATAATTTAAAACATCTTTTTAAATTTAAAAATTTTCTTTCCTTTCCCTATCCAATTTATTGTTTTCCACAACAATTTTTGTTATTTAAGGACATAAATTCTTCAATTTCCTCTACAGTTCTAGGCAATTCTGCATTCATATTTAAATTCCCATTTGCCAAAATAATTATATCGTCTTCAATTCTGACCCCTCCAAATCCTCTAAATTCC